CACAAACCTTTCACACACAAATGGACTTTGGCCATAACAGGAGATCTGCATGGAGGAATGGGCCAACATACCAGCAACAGTGTGTGCCAACCTTGTGAAGACTTACAGAAAACGTTTGACCTCTGTCATTGCCAACAAAGGATATACAACAAAGTATTGAGATGAACTTTTGTTATTGACCAAATACTTATTTTCCACCATTATTTGCAAAAAACATTCTTTAAAAGTCAGACAAAACGATTTTCTCAAATTTTTTTCACATTTTGTCTCTCATAGTTGAGGTCTACCTATGATGTCAATTACAGGCCTCTCTCATCTTTTTAAGTGGGAGAACTTGCACAATTGGTGACTGACTAAATACTTATTTTCCCCACTGTACTTGTACACAGATAGCACATTAACCTGAAGATAAGAGAAGAAAGTGCACATCATGATGTTTGTGTTGTGTTTATACTGTATTTCTCTTTACATTTTCACATCAAGTTTTTAAAATTCACTTATTTTAAATTCATTAAAACACTTCCAGCAGAATTTCAGTCATTTTTAACGAGGTTTGATGTATTTGAATTCTCCTGCTGCCCTGGGGTCAAAATGACCTGAGACCCTGAGGCCTGTAGTTTTAAACCCTATGGGTGCTTTTGACCCCAGGACAGCAGGAGAATTAAAATGGTTTGACTCAAAAATGTCCCAACATTTTATTATTTCATCAAGTATTCCACAAACCACAGTTAATAAGCCATAAACAGGTTTTTACCACCCAACTAGAGATTGTTTTTGATTTATTTCACCTTAAAGAGTTCAGATTTATTTCATCAGAAACTACAAAGAATAAATGAATTAGTTGTAAATAAGCAGTATTTTATTTTAAACTTCCTTGTAAAACACAAAGAGCCATTAAGTGAATATTTCAGTGCTAATGATGTCCTGATACTGTTTGATAAATGAACTGAAAGGTTTTTACATCACTTCCTGTCCGCAGCTCACACATTTCCTGGATTTCATTCTTTAATTAAAATTTTAATCTTTGACGTATATATTTTATTTATATAGTATATTTGGACTGAAGGGTTGTTTTTGTGATGATTGTGACTTTTAAAGAAAAGCCCACAGTAAAACATGAGCACTTTATTCAATAAATGGAGTTCTGCCATCTCTTGAACCGCACCAAAGATTTTATTAAAACTCCCAAAAAGTGATGAGTGCATGTTTGTCCACAGCTGAATGATATTTACTAACATAAACATGACTCAAACAATAGTTTGAAACAAAACAAAGTTTTAAGAGTTGAGTTTGGTGTGGTAGTAGCTGAGAGTGGTCCTCATCATAGAGCTAATCATGAAGTCAAACTTAACGTCTTTATAAAGTTGGATCAAAATGTCTACATCATCATCATGTCTGAACATTAGATGGTTTTATTTTAACCCATAAACTAGTGACAGATCCTATGCTTTGCTTTAAAAAATGCTGCGTCGTTATATTTGATGAGTATTTGTACATTTTACCTGGCATTAACACCAGGTTACCAGACTCCACCAGCAGGAGGCAGTGTCACATCAGGTCTTCTTCATGCTTCTTTTCTGAAAAACTCAAAGCATGCCTACACTTCTTTAAACATTTCTCATTTCCTGCTGGGTTTGCACCTCCTGTCCACACAAAACAAGTTTTAGATTAAAAAATAAAGACCAGGGAAAGATAAAAAAATAACAAATAAACAACACAATAACAACAGGAAATAAACAAAACAGCAAACAAGAAGCCCAGAAAAAGTTCTTGAGGTGTCCACTCATTACTTCCTGTCAGTTGCATTAAAGTCTGTGCAGTAGTCCATGAGATATTTTACTAACAGACAAACAAACAGGCAGTACAGTGTGTTGCAAAGGATTTCACCCCACTTTGGTAATATTTTCATGTTGTCCTTTCTTCTCAAATTTTATTGAACTGATAAATCGATTATAAGCTAATTAGGTTGAATTGAGTAAAATATTTAAAACAGTTAAAACTCACTTTGTATTTACCTGGTACTTACGTTGTGCATACCTGGTACTTACAAAGTATATACCTGGTACTTACTAAGTATTTACCTGGTACTTACTTAGTATATACCTGGTACTTACCTTGTACATATCTGATACTTACCAAGTACATACCTGGTACTTACATTGTATATACCTGGTACATACTAAGTACTTACCTGGTACTTTGTACATACCTGGTACTTACCAAGTACATACCAGGTACTTACTTTGTATATAACTGGTACTTACCAAGTACATACCTGATAATTACTTTGCATATACCTGGTACTTACTAAGTACTTACCTGGTACTTACTTTGTATATACCTAGTACTTATCTGTGTAAACCTGGTACTTACTAAGTACTTACTTTGTATATACCTGGTACTTACCTGGTACTTTGTATATACCTGGGACTTACTAAGTCCTTACCTGGTACTTACTTTGTATATACCCAGTACTTACTTTGTATATACTGTACCTGGTACTTACAAAGTACTTACCTTTTACTTACTTTGTATATACCTAGTACTTACCTGTATATACCCGGTACTTACTTTGTATATCTGGTACTTACCTGGTACTTTGTATATACCTGGGACTTACTAAGTCCTTATCTGGTACTTACTTTGTATATACCCGGTACTTACTTAGTATATACCTAGTACTTACTAAGTACTTACCTCGTACTTACTTTGTATATACCTAGTACTTACCTGTAAATACCTGGTACTTACTAAGTACTTATTTTGTATATACCTGGTACTTACCTGGTACTTTGTACATACCTGGGACTTACTAAGTACTTACCTGTACTTACTTTGTATATACCCGGTACTTACTTTGTTTATACCTGGTACTTACAAAGTACTTACCTTTTACTTACTTTGTATATACCTAGTACTTACCTGTATATACCTGGTACTTACTAAGTACTTACTTTGTGTACACCTGGTACTTACCTGGTACTTTGTATGTACCTGGGGCTTATTAAGTACTTACCTGGTACTTACTTTTTATATACCTGGTACTTACTAAGTACTTACATTTTACTTACTTTGCATACACCTAGTACTTACCTGTATGTACCAGGTACTTACTAAGTACTTACTTTGTATATACCTGGTACTTACCTGGTATTTACTTTGTATATACCCGGTACTTACTTTGTATATACCTGGTACTTACAAAATACTTACNTACTTACCTGGTACTTACTTTGTATATACCCGGTACTTACTTTGTATATACCTGGTACTTACAAAATACTTACTTTGTATATACCTGGTACTTACTTGGTACTTATTAATTACAAGGTTAAATTGAGTAAAAATTCAAAACAATGAACATTAATTCTAAAGAAACCATCAAACATGTCAGATTGCAGACATTGAACTAATTTAATCTAAATTATGTCCCAATTCAAACTGTTTCAGTCAATAAAGGAACAGGACAACAGTTTTTGTGCTCTTGGAATGAATTAGTTTGGCTTTACAGAGTATAGGTGGTCCTAAACCGCTGTTTCACTGCAATGTTGTGATTCCATCAAACAAAGCACAACACACGCTGCACAAAACACATTATTTTAAACTGTGCACATGTGCAATTTTAAAATCATTTACCCATGAGCCATGGGGGGACCCCTAAACCCAGTCCTGCTGCTGGTCCTGGGGGTACTAAGAACACATCAATTAAATAATTATAGGACAAAATAAATGCTTGAATCAAAAAGGTTGTTTTCATTTCTGCTGCTCACATTTACCAACCTTTTCCTGTTGCATCATGGGAAAAATGCCATGTTTAGCATTAAGATGAGGTGACTGACCAGTAAAAACTGATGTGAAGCTGTTTTTATTTTTTTATTTATTTTTTCTCTTTGTTCGGCTGTGAGTTGCGGTTCTGATCAGACAACTAAAGTGCCATTAGAAGACATTCCAGATCTATCAGGGTCTTAAATTGTGGACCAGAACTCGTTCAATCAGTTTTGGGTTTGGATAATCACTTCAGAAGCTTCACTTGCCTCTTTTTTCCAACTAAGGACAGCACCGTTTGTGACGAGTCATTAGTTTATTAAAAGCAACAATCTGGAAGTGACCAGTAGGACTTGGAGTCTGATGACAGTGAAAATGAAAACGTGCTGTTTTGATGGAAGTAATCTGTATTTATTTCTGCTGTTCTAAAGAATAATTCTGTGTGTATGTGACGGGGCGGGGAACCTTTTGTACAGAATCTTATTACCTCTGTGTTTTAATGATTGATGAGAGTACTATAAAAGTGAGCCATATTTGATGTGAAATACCTTCTCATCAGGAGGAAAGGGCCACAGCTTCTCAGTATGTTTTTGAATTATTTAGTTGTAGTAGCAAGCATATTCTTTGTGAGTCTAGAGTTTTAATGTGAGCATCACAAAGGCCGCAGTGTGAAACATCAATCTGCTGGTTAACACTTTGTTCCAAGTCTCGATGACTTCTCAGAGACCACGATCACGTCAGAACGAGCTGCTCTTCAAGCCGGCGGCACAGAAAAGCCAAAAGTGGTCAACTCTTAAAGCCATGGTGTCACATGTTGGGCAAATGTTAGTATGAATGAAAACAAAAAGAAAAAAACAGGCAGAAAACTAGAAAAGATCAGTTTTCAACAAAACAAAGTTCACCTCTGTGCAACACATAAATATGGAAATGATTCAGAACATCTCCACCACAGGAACTGAATTATTCTTTAAAAAGTTCTTCTTAACAAGAAAACTTTTTTTATTTCAAAAACAGCCCCATGAAGCAGAAACTCATAAACATAGTAGCCATGTTTCCATTCAGTTTTAATTCAAATTTTGAGCGAATTTTTAAAATGTCATAAAAAGGAAATTAAAAAAGAAATAGCAATGAGATGTGTTCCCATCTGGCTTGGAGCGAATCACCCAGGCTACACAAAGTGTAATTACGTCAGATGTTGACGTTACGCATGGCTGTAGTAAACAGGAAGTAAAGTCACAAACTCACAGGGATACACATCTCAGGACAATGGAGAGAAGTTATCAGGAAAGTATTGCTACTAGTGGGAAAGTTGGACTTATTCTGTCATATCAGTTAGTTTTGGCGATGCAATTCTGCAATTCTCTTCACGTTACGGGAATATCTGGGAAGATGATGACAGCAGGGGAAGCTGCAGCCACAGCTTGTATAATTATTGGACAGTGAGGTGTAAAAAATACCACGTCTTCTGGTTGAAGTGGAACTGCTGTTTGCTCAATGAAGAAAGGACTCTGAAAAGGCTGGTTGAACAGCAAAAAAGCTTTATTTGCAGTTCCAGGAGATTACAGCCGAAAACCAAATTGTGGCCTCCAAGCCAAATGATTCACCAAGTAAGAAAGATGGAGTACGAAGGCCAAGAGCGGGGGCGTACAAGGCTCTTTATAGGTTTTCCACAGATGTACATAAATATTGTCATGGTATACCTTAAGCGTTCTTCTTTCCTGATATGGTAATACAGTATGTGCCGAGCTCTAAAGCTGGAAACTCAGAGGCCTCACATCTGTGCATTCCTGAGACAAGGCCCCCGCTCTTTGGACACTACAACAGCTGGAACAGCTGATCAAGGTAAATGTTTGCTACATCAGAACTTATTTGGCAAATTTGTTTCCATCTCCCCTTTTGTGCATTAAGTCTTTTTTTTGGAAAATCTAAAAACCACTTCAAGTGAGCGTAAAAACTTTTTTGCGAAATTGAGGAACTTTTTGGGAATTTTGCCGTTTCCATCCACCTTTTCCAATGCAAGACTAAAAAATGTGCATAAAAAAACATTGAAGGAAACATGGCTAGTGAAGTTACAGAAAAACTGAGCTGGAAGACCGATGAGTACAGCCGAACTGATCCATCTGTTGGATCAATAGTTAGAGATGAACACATTCAGCAACATGTTGACTCCAAACTCATCGTGTTGATGCTTGATCACGTTCCCTCTGCGTCCAGTTTGAACCAGTCACTGACCAGAGGTGAGCGAGGAGGAGGAACCTGTTGTCATATGTGCTCCAATGAACTGTACGACCCTCAACTTCTATTAACCCTAAACATTCAACCCCTGACGTCACCACCTAAACCTAACCAGTAACCCTGACCCCTGAACTTAAACTCAGACCCCCAACCCATCGACCCTATGTGATGTGTCAGTGACGGACGCAGAAGGAACCAGACCTAGAAGATCCAGCTGTAAGACCAGTAGTCAGAGTTGTACCAATACTGCTCTGGATTCAGTATTCAGAGTTGAACAGAAGCAAAACAAGGATTAATAATCTGTGCAGAACCATGACCCACAGGAACACCACCCACAGCGGTTCAGTTTATACACTGAAAGTTCCGCGAGAACCTGAACCTATCAGCTCACGGACTGCAGCAGCAGCTCAGTGAGAGACTGGGTTCTAAAAGACAACTTTCCAGGTCTGTCAGCTCGGGCTCTTCAGATGAAAACAAATCAAACCTTTAGAATCCAAAACTGCAATAAAAATATATATATATTTTGTTTTTAGTTCAAGGCTGATTTATGTTAAAGAGAAGCACAAACCTGGAGGTCATTAATGATCAAACAGGTGTGAAATAATAAATCACATTCCCTTTGACCCAAACTGTACTATGAGTGGTGGTGAAGTGGAGTGTGGAATGATTTAATCTCTATATTTATGTTGTTGCACATGTTCCTGTTGTTGTAAACGGTCCCTCCAATCAGTGTCTGGCTCTGTTCAACTCTTTTTCCTCAGGAAGTTACGGAAACATAGTCTATAATATCAGGATCTCCTCGATCCACTTTTGAAACTGTGTGTGCGCATGTGTGTGTGTGTGTGTGTGTGTGTGTGTGTGTGTGTGTGNGTGTGTGTGTGTGTGTGTGTGTGTGTGTGTGTGTGTGTGTGAGGTCTCCATGAAGTGCTTCCTGGGTACTTTGTTTTCTATGTGGGACCTTTCCTCAGTTGGAGCCTGTAGCCTGACCCAGTCCTTGTTGTTCCTGCGACAGACTCTTGTGTTTGTACAGAATATCATGAGGGTGTTTTATGACGCATGCACTCACAATATTAGTACCTAAACATCTATATCTACTTGTTTTATTTATGCTATTATTTATTGATTTTCTAAACTATGAGATTCTGTTGAACTGATGTGTCATGACCTTTGACCTTTTATTGTACTGTATAGAGATGATTATATATCCATAATTATTAATGAGCCCATAATAAAATCAGCTACAAACTCGACTTCCTTCACTGTTCTTTGTTCAGCTGACAGATGGAACAATGATTAATTGCAACATTATAGAACAAACACATTCATGAAGCTGGTAAATAAACTTTATTGTAGTAGAACCTCAGTCCTAATCCTGCTGCTCTGAGATCAGATTATTATTATTGCATTAATCCCACAGTTTATCTGAGCTTCTAAATCACATCCTGCAGTAAAATAATCAAATGTCTTTAATTACAAATCTGTTTCTATTTCAAGAAGTTCCAGAGCAGGTTAAAGTCTTCTTTTTGTCACTGAACAGAAAAAACCTGAAATACAATAAAATCACTTTTATTTTAGTTCTGATCCATTTGAACTAAAACTCTTTGGACAGAACTTTTACAGCTTTGTGGCATTTCTGATTTTTTTATAAACAAACATTTAGTATAAAGATGTTTTTTTTATTTTGTAGATTAATAAACATATTTTTGTGATGCAGTCTTTTGGAGGTGTATTTTCTTTAACCATATTTACTACAGAAAATCACTTTTTTTAACTCCAAGGTTTTATGTAATAATGACACAATAAACCTGATCTGGTCTTTAGGTTAAAGTGGAAAAACATACAACAAATTGACTGAATCATTTTTCAATAAATCATTTCTTTATTATTAAACCTTGATTTCACCAGGAAAATTTCATTGAGATTAAAAATCTCTTTTGCAAACAAATCCTGGCCAAAACTGGTAGCAATACACAGGTTACTGAACATTCACAGCAGAAATAGAATAAGCACTGTTATTGATAGATTAACAAAAATTTCTCAGTTAAAGCATTTACAGACAGATGATTTCTTCCCATAATTCGTAAGAACAGCCTTTAGGTTCATGTATGTATCTCTGCAAGTGGAAGAAAAGAAGATGGAGCAGAAAACTGAAAAAAAATTCCAAGTTCAGTTCAGACTTTAGCTGC